AAATGGCACCGGTTGGACCCACCATCTCAGCATCCTCCAAGGAGAGCTCACATGATGAAGCAGCTAGTCATCTAGCTCTTTCCTCCTGATATCAATTATTAGAATCAAATAATGACACTACACCCTCTACTAAAGGGAACATTACAGCATTGTTCTGTGAATTTAAAGCAATGTTCTATAACAAACTGGGAGGCCTAATAGCTGATGTGGGAGCACTATCCAAGAGGGTACAAATCTTTGGAGGAGGGCATGACCGAGGTCCTTGATCAGGCTGCGTTTTGATCATTTGGAAGAAGTGGAGACTTCTTTGGAGGTCTTGAAGATACAGCAAAGAGCTAAGAACATTATGAATCTGGGTCATTCCCAAAGTGGTTAGGTCTGAATATCTAAATGCCTACATGGAGAAAGCCATCATGTGGGTGGCTAGGAAACGGCAATCCTATATGAATGAAAAGTGCATACAGAATTAGGAGTCGGTTTTGGTTCCAATAGATGCCCCTGGGTTGTGATAGCCCAAATGACAACAGTGTAAGAAATTGATATGCAAAACTGCAATATTGTATGTATATTACTTTCTTTAGTGTCAACAATAATATCGTCAGTGTAAGTGCCGTTTGTGTGTGAAAAATGCAAAAAACACCACTTTCACTGACAATATCATCGCTGCAATACATTTTACTGTTTTGAAGCACAAATATTTGTGTTCAGCAATGTCTCCGGAGTAAAACAGTACCCCCCATGTACAGGTTTTATGGTGTCTTGGAAAGTTATAGGGTTAAATGTAGTGCTAGCAAATAAATTCCATATACTTTCGGCCTGGGTTGTCAGGCAGGTCCCGCAAATTGTAATTAATAAAATGACCTAATTATGTAAAATTATTAATTAAATATATACGTAGAATTATTATATATACGTGTGTGTGTGTGTGTGTGTGTATATGTGTATATATATATATATATGTATATATATATATATATAATTTTTAAAAATAATTTTCATATATATATATAGTGATATATACTTATGTATATAGATATATATTCGTTCTACGTGTATTTTGATGTCAATATATATATTATCAAAATACAGTTAAAACGAAATTACACACACATATATATTTAATTTTTAACATATTTACATATTTTTTTTTTTCTATTCTATATAAATATATCTATAAAAAATACTCACGTTTTTGGTACTCCAATGCCGGGTGCACTACCAGAGCTCCAATAGATACAAACTCCAAGTAAGAAAGGCTGCTCTCCGGTCTTTCAAATGAAAATATTTATTGAAAAGGTTTAAAAATAACGACCAACGTTTCGGTCCCCGTTCGGGACCTTCCTCAGGGTCAAATATAACAGGACAATTATATAAATTTAATCAGTAACATTCTAAGTGTATTTTGATATTTATATATATATATATATATATATATATATATAATTAAAATACACTTAGACAGTGTATGTGTAAATGTGTGTGTGTGTGTATATATATATATATATATATATATATATATATATATATATATATATATATATATATACTTAGATCATATATATGTATATATTATTTAATTTTTAACTGTAATTAACCATAAGGGGCAGAGACAGTGTCAGCCAGTGATTTGAGATCATTGGCTGACACGTAGGAACAGTGATCACAGTGACTGGCTGTCACTGTTATCACCTCCTGCAGATCGCAGTAATTGGCCACAGGGGGTGGCATGCCCCCCACCGCGATGTTCAGGGGGATAATTGCGGAAGTTACATGTGTCAGCCAATAGGCTGACACATAGCAACACTGATCGCAGTGACAGGCTGTCACTGCAATCAGGCTGTGCAGATCACGGTCACTGACCGCAGAGGGCTGCCTGGGGGGCCAGGCATGTCCCCTGACCGCGATCTGCAGGGTGAGAATGCTGCGGCCACGTGCGTCAGCTGATTTTAAATCGGCTGACACATAGTAAATACGGATCGCATTGACAGCCTGTCACTGCGATCAGAGGCTGCAGACCACAGTAATTGGCCACAGGGGGAGTGCCTGGGTGGCCAGGCATGCCCCCCAACGCGATCTGCAGGGGGATAATTGCGGAAGTTACATGTGTCAGCCAATAGGCTGACACATAGTAACACTGATCGCAGTGACAGTCTGGGAGAATGCTGCGGCCACGTGTGTGCTGACACATAGTAAATAGTGATCGCATTGTCAGCCTGTCACTGCAATCAGAGGCTGCAGACCGCGGTCACTGGGCGCAGGGGGGCTTCCTGGGTGGCCAGGCATGCCTCCTGAACGTGATCTGCAGCTGACTAATGGCGCCGGCAACGTTGGCGGCAAGAACGGCTAGGACGTTCTATGCCGCACGCCAGCGTTTAGAGCCAGCCCCTTAAGGATGGCGTAGAACGCCCGCCGTCCTTAAGGGGTTACATTTATTTTTACTTTTTCTCATTGTCCTGTCGTGGTTTCCCTTAGATGGTTATTTGAGAGTATGTTCCTGATTGTGTGTTTCTGGTAATTGACTTTGACTTTGGCTTTGTTTTGACTTCCCTTACTTCTGGTATCCTTGACTATTGGCTTTCCCCCATTCTGTGTCCCTGACATTGTCTAGTATATTGACTATGCTTAGGTATGTTAAGTCCGGCCATTCTAAGGTCCGGTTAGATGTTACCCTTAGTCCTAGGTGTGACACATTTCTGCATGCTGGATCAACTGTAATCCTGACATTACGACAGGGCCATAAATCCTGCAGAATTGTGTCAGCACATAGCAGCTTGCGAAAGAAAGCTAGATGAGAATTATCACCGTATGGATCAGTTTGCCCAGGCTTTCAGTACGCTTCTTACTCTGACTGCTCATTTACAACCTGGGGTCCCTACTATTATCTCACCTCTGCCTAATACACCTCCACCTATAGTATATAAAGCACCTACTATCTCCCTTTCTCCTCCCCCACATTTTGATGGTAATATTCAAGAATGTCGGGGATTTCTCAGTCAAATTGAGTACCACATTGAGGCCTCACCACAATCTTTTCCCACGCACAGAGCTAAAATTGGGTACTTGATGAACCAACTTAAAGGTAAAGCCTTACCTTGGGCCAATCCATTATGGGTGAGTAATATGAGTAATGCTTATAACTACCAGGAATTCCTTGCGGAATTTAAATTAACTTTTGAACGATTAGGCAGGGAGGATGACGCTTCCACTGCTATAATGCGTATCAAACAAGGGAATCGGTCTATCTCAGATTATGGCATAGAATTTCATACCTTGGCTTCTGAGGTAGACTGGACTAATAGCGGATTGATCTCTGCATTTAAAGAAGGATTATCCGAAGCAATTCTTGATGAGATTGCTGCCAAAGATCTACCTAAGAGGTTAAATGAGTTCATCACATATGTGATGCAGATTGATAATAGAGTTAGGACCAGGGAAATTACTAGAAATAGAACCAGACTTATGGCTATGTCACTGGCATCTCGTTTCTCCAAACCTGTTATCACTGACCTCTCTTTACAGTCCGAACTCGAACCTGTGCAGTTAGTGGTCACTAGACTGTCAAAGGCAGAGAAACAGTATAGGAGAAGGGAGGGTCTGTGTTTATACTGTGGTAAAAAAAAGAACATATGAGAAGTGCTTGTCCCATACATCCGGAAAACTGACGCACCTAAGAACCTGAAGGGGACAGGTCTTTGGTGTGATGGATACGTCCTCTGGTAATAATTAAAATAGATTTCTCCTTGATATCACTTCCCTTTGCAACAAGAAAAGCTTTTCATGCAAAGCCCTGTTGGACTCAGTTGCGGCAGGAAACTTTATTGACATGTATTTTGTTTAAAAAAAACACTTGATACCTATCAAGGAGACATCATCACCTCTGGCCGTTGAGGCTATTGATGGAAGAACTCTCTCTCAACCCTTGATTACCTACAAAACCATGCCAATTAACATTTCCATAGGAGCATTACATAAGGAAAACATAACATTCCAGATAATTGCTTCTCCCTCTGGAATGGGGGTAAAGACTGTATAGAAACATGTGTGTTACTCATTACCAAGAGAGTGGTTACCTTACCCACTGCTACACCTCAGACCTCATACAGTACTGGGAAGTTAAGGAGGCATTCAGTAAGAGGCAGACTGACATTCTACCTCCTCACAGATCATATGATTGCTCCATAGATCTGCTACCCGGCGCTATGCCCCATAAGGGGGCAGTATATGCCATATCTCCACAGGAGAGTAGAATCATGGATGAGTACATCAAAGATTCCCTAAGTAAGGGTCACATACGTAAGTCATCCTCGCCTGCTGGTGCAGGGTTCTTTTTTGTATCCAAAAAAGATGGAGAATTACGCCCATACATTGATTACAGGGCATTAAACAAGATCACCATAAAAAATGCCTATCCCATTCCCCTCATCTCCGAATTGTTTGACAGACTCCAGGGTGCTAAAATATTTACTAAACTTGGCCTCAGGAGTGCGTACAATTTGGGAAGAAAGATCATGAGTGGCATTTAACACTAGAAGTGGGTACCTTGACATGCCCTTCAGGATATGCAATGCTCCGGCCATATTTCACGGCTTTATTAATAATGTGCTCAGAGACTATATTTATTCTTTTGTTATTTATATATATATATATATATATATATATATATATATATTTAGTTTTGTATACCTGGATGGATAGCCTTATTTATTTCCCTGACCTTCAGGCTCATCACAAACATGTTAAACAAGTGCTGCAAACTGCTTAAGAATAGACTTTATTGCAAACTTGATAAATGCATATTTGACCAGACAGAGGTACAGTTTTTTGGTTATAATATTTCCGTCTCTGGTTTCCAAATGGACACCTGCAAGCAACCAACAAAGGCTATATCGCCTACAAGCAGTGATCCAACAAAGGCCCCGGAGAGGCACAGCCCATCACGACTGACTGAGAAGACGGTAGAGCACACGGCCAAACAAGACAGCAGCACCTGAGCCTTCGCAATGGACCAGCAGAAGCCTGCAAGCACAACTAAAAGAAAGACCCACAACCGGGGCTATAACTTACCCGTCAAGCGAGCCAGACCTCCACACCGGGAACTACTCTCCCCTGCACTCCAGGACCACCGAGGGCGAGACATAGACCACCACATCAGGGCGCCACCAAGATCCTGCAGGGCATCGGCTGACGGCAATTATATTTGGGCAGCCGAACAGACTCAGAGACTGCATCCTCTTTCAAAGGCGCTCACAATTTACAGTCTCATGGTAACACTGCACCACACACATCTGCAGCTTGATGGCCGAGTTTTAAGCCCACTCTTGGCCCCTACACCGACTAGGCCTCAAACACGAGATGACTACACATACCACCCAGGGGATCAGTGGGGAACACTAGCACCACTACCACTACTACACCACGACAAGCAACTAAACTATTTATATCATCCTGACACTCTAGCCTAAAACTCTTAACCTTACGATTGAACCTACCACTGATATTATGCTAATGTTATTATACTTAAACATGTGCCAATTCTTCCTAATGCTCCTACTGCTATGCTTGAAAAGATGCCAGAGGACTGCTATTGGGGCACCCCAAGCTTGTGTGTTATCATTATGCACACACACAAAAAAAAAACAATGTATACAGTATGTGAGAATCAAGAAAATGCCACAATTGCTTCTTATCCTATGTACTAAACAGATACAATAAGATTGTGTTTTACACTGTAAAGTGACTGTATGAAAAAAAAAAAAAATTACAAATGATATTTGACATTAAGCCACATATTTCACGTACATGCTCTCAACATTAGTGATGAAAAAACTCTAGGAGTTCTGTTGATAACATTTAAAAAAAGAAAAGAAAATGTTTTAACTATTTTTGCTGAACGTTGCTTACTTGATCCAATCAAACACACTTTACCTCTCTAAACTGATACCCATATTATGCCGGGAGATTTGATTACAATTCATCGATGAAAATCTCATATATGCCCTGTTATTTAACAGATAACCTACACGTTGCATCTTTTGGGCTGCGGTACTAGAGTATGTTGGTACAGTTCCCCTGAAAAAGATATGTATCTGATGGTAACATTTCATCATCCTAACTTCTGGCTACCAATATTATTACGGTACTTGCATCAACCGCTGCCAGTTCTTAGAATCCCTGTAAACAAGTCTTTACATTGCAAATCTAACTCCAACTGCGCAGTGACTTACTAAGGTCACTGGACTGTGATAACATAATCTGTTATCTGTATACGCTTCTGAACATCAAAGAAGAGAGGTCCATGTGATCAACAGTACTGATCTAGAATGTCTTTATACTTGGCAGGGTACGGTGAAAAGTTTGTGACCCGAGGACCCTTTTTTCCCCACAATAGTAATGCATCACTGCGTCGGTTGAATGTTTCGCTGTATTTATTCCAACGCAACACGTCTGATTTCTTATGAACAAGTAAATTGATCCCTTCTGTTTAGTTTTTTTCTTTTGCAGCAAATGTATTTTAACTGCACTCAAATGTTAACTTTTAAAGTAAAAAGGCAGCATTCATTGTGACAGGTTGACAAAATATTTGTTTGAATGATGAATTGAAAGGAGATAGTTTTGATTTTTGCAGAAAGACATAATGATATTTGATTGTAATCCCATGTAAACACGAGCTGTGTTACTGTGTGTATATATATATATATATATATATATATATATATATATATATATATTTTCCCAGATCCCAGCACTCAATGTTCCCGGTCTTTTCCATGCTCAGGTGCAAGTAATCTCTGACCAATATATAGCATCCAAGTAGAGAGCACTCTGGAGTCTTCGTTTTATATCAAAATAAATACTGCTTTATTGTGCAGAATACAAAAATGTCGACGTTTCAGTCACAATAGACTTTTCTCAAGACCCTGGTCTTGAGAAAAGTCTATTGTGACTGAAACGTCGACATTTTTATATTCTGCACAATAAAGCAGTATTTATTTTGATATAAAACGAAGACTCCAGAGTGCTCTCTACTTGGATGCTATATATATATATATATATATGTGTGATACTTGAAAAATTAGAATATCGTGCAAAAGTTAAAGGAACACTATAGTCACCTAAATTACTTTAGCTAAATAAAGCAGTTTTAGTGTATAAATCATTCCCCTGCAATGTCACTGCTCAATTCACTGCCATTTAGGAGTTAAATCACTTTGTTTCTGTTTATGCAGCCCTAGCCACACCTCCCCTGGCTATGATTGACAGAGCCTGCATGAAAAAAAAAAAACTGGTTTCACTTTCAAACAGCTGTAATTTACCTTAAATAATTGTATCTCAATCTCTAAATTGAACTTTAATCACATACAGGAGGCTCTTGCAGGGTCTAGCAAGCTATTAACATAGCAGGGGATAAGAAAATCTTAATTAACCCCTTAGCGACCGAGGACAGTTCAGGACCGTCATCGGCATTTTCCCATTGCCGACCGATGACGGTCCTGAACCGTCCTAACGGTCTGAGTTACTTACCTGATCGCCGTCGTTCCCCCGGCGGCGATCAGCGTGGCTCCGGTTGTGGGGAGACTGCCTGCAGCCCAGACAGTCTCCCCACGGCAGATTAGGACCCCTGTGGCCATGTGATCGCTTAACACAGCGATCACATGGTCACAATAGGTGTCCATGTGTCTGCCTGCAGGGGGACTGTCTGTGCTGACAGGCAGTCTCCCTGCTAGTGTAAAATCAAAAAAATAAAATAAAGTTAGTGTTAATAAAAAAATAATAATTATATATGTGTATATATGTGTATATAAAAATACACTTAGTATGACATATATATATATATATATATATATATATGATATATATATATAATATATGTCTATATATCATATATATATATATATATATATATGTCATACTAAGTGTATTTTTATATTAATATGTACTTATATTAATATAAAAATACACTTATATATATACACGTGTGTAATTTAATTATAATATATATAATAACTATATATATTGTATATATATATATATTATAAAATATAAATAAGTAATTTAAATTAAATAAAAAAATTTTAAATAAAAAAAATTTAAAAAAAATTCTATCTATATGAAATTTTATTCTAACTGTATTTTAAAATTAATATATATATATTTATATCAAAATACACTTAGAATGAATCTGTATATATATCTATGTATATAAAAATAAATAAAAATAATAAGAAATATACATATGTCCATATACAAAATTACATAAATAATTATATAAATATACACGTAGACTTCAAATATATAAATATGCATATATATTTAAATTCTACGTGCGTATTTATGTAATATTTTTACATAATTCAGTAATTTTATTGATTGCAATTTGAGGGACCTGCCTGCCAACCCAGGCCGAAATTCCAGAGAATTTAATTTGCTAGCACTGTATTTTACCCTGTAACGTTCTACGACACCCTAAAACCTGTACATGGGGGGTACTGTTTTACTCGGGAGACTTCGCTGAACACAAATATTAGTGATTCAAAACAGTAAAACATATCACAGCGATGATATTGTCAGTGAAAGTGACTTTTTTTGCATTTTTCACACACAAACAGCACTTTTACTGGTGATATAATTGTTGTGATACGTTTTCCAGTTTTTAAACACTAATATTTGTGTTCAGCGAAGTCTCCTGAGTAAAACAGTACCCCCCATGTACAGGTTTTATAGCATTTTTGAAAGTTAAATGGGTCAAATATTTTTACATTGAAAATGGCCAGGTTGGTTACGTTGCCTTTGAGAGCGTATGGTAGCCCAGGAATGAGAATTACCCCCATGATGGCATACCATTTGCAAAAGAAGACAACCCAAGGTATTGCAAATGGGGTATGTCCAGTCTTTTTTAGTAACCACTTGGTCACAAACACTGGCCAAAATTAGCGTTCAATTTAGTTTTTTTACTTTTTTCACACACAAACAAATATGAATGCTTACTTTGGCCAGTGTTTTCGACTAAGTGGCTACTAAAAAAGACTGGACATACCCCATATTGAATACCCTGGGTTGTCTACTTTAAAAAAAATATGTACATGTGGGGTGTTATTCAGAGATTTATGACAGATAATAGTGTTACAATGTCACTATTGATAAATTTTAAAAATGTATGTTTTGAAACCGCAATATCCTACTTGTACCTATAGCCCTATAACATGCAAAAAAAGGCATGTAAACACGGGGTATTTTTAAACTCAGGACAAAATTTTGAATCTATTTAGCAGTTTTTTTCATTCGCTTTTGTAGATGAGTAAAAGATTTTTCAAGTAAAAGTCAAAAAACATGTATTTATTTAAATTTTTCATCATATTTTTTAATTTTTTTAAAATTAAAATACATGAGATTATATAAATAATGGTATGTAAAGAAAGCCCCTTTTGTCCTGAAAAAAACAATATATAATTTGTATGGGAACAGTAAATGAGAGAGCGGAAATTCCAGCCAAACACAAACACCACAAAAGTGTAAAAATATGCCTGGTCGCAAATGTACAACATCGCAAAAACAGTCCAGTCCTTAAGGGGTTAAACAGAACTTGCAATAAAGAAAGCCTAAATAGGGCTCTCTTTACAGGAAGTGTTTTTGGAAGGCTGTGCAAGTCACATGCAGGGAGGTGTGACTAGGGTTCATAAACAAAGGGATTTAACTCCTAAATGGCAGAGGATTGAGCAGTGGGGCTGCAGGGGCATGTTCTATACACCAAAACTGCTTCATTAAGCTAACGTTGTTCAGGTGACTATAGTTTCCCTTTAATTTATTTCAGTAATGCAACGTAAAAGGGGAAACTAATATATAAGATAGACGCATTACATGCAAAGCAAGATAGTTCAAGCCGTGATTTGTCATAAGTGCGATGATTATGGCTTACAGCTCATGAAAACCCCAAATCCACAATCTCAGTAAATTAGAATATTACATTAAATGAACCTTTGCACGATATTCTAATTTTTCAAATATCACCTGTGTGACATCTCTCTGAGGATCCAACTTTCCTCCAGTCATTGGGCCTCCCAGCGACAGTAGCACCAAGGCATGCCTGTCCACCCTGGAATTTTGCAGAAATAAATCCCTTCGTGCCCAGAGGAACAGGGCAAATAACGGAGGACTCTCTGACTTGAGACCTGCAGCTGCATCTCCCTGTAGCAATGTATAATGTTTCACACTGTTCTAACCACAGTACACAGTTTTGGGTCTCGTATGACTGTTCATCTCATAGTTTTATGTTTAGAAGTTAGTCTATAATTTGTCTCTGCAAGCTGACTACCATCTACACTGTCCAAACAATATCTGCCCCTCATCCCGAACGTGCTATGTTCCACCTACCTTATTTTAAGCTCCTCACCACATGTTCGACTATTTACCTGGCGTTCCGGACCTATTACAAAATTATTGCCCAAAGCCCTGGGTAACTAAAGGT